TCTTACTCAAGTATAAAAACTTACAACTTACCATTCTAAGGTAATGCAAGTTTAAATTCTCAAGCCAATATTCTTGCTACATACACTTTTAGTGTTCTACTCCCAAGTCGACCCTTTTTTTATCGATTGGAGGCTCACGTTCTAAACTCCCCGACACTCTAAATTAATCATCTAGTTGACTCTACCGTTAGATTGCGTGCTGTTAACTAACGGTTTGTCCAAGTGTGTTGAGATCTAGCTTACGTGGACGTGAAAGGATTTGAGATCTGTTCGCCACATCATTGATACAATTTTTGGAGTCAACATAAACTATTGAGTTTTTTTTTAACAAGTGGAAAGTAAAGTAGACTACTTAAGAGTATTAAGCATAAGGAAGGACACTCAACGAGACACCAAATTTGAACTTGAAAATACAAGAATGATGGATGAGCAATAATCAAACCTTCTTGAATAATGACATATTCATGAAAGTTTGCTAATAGAACTCGCACAGGAACTCAAACTATGGAGAAAATTTCAAAGAATTAATCTACTTCATGCAATGTGCTAAATTTTTTTATGAAATTCGACTTTGAAAGTTTAGCTATCAGCTCAATTGAAGAGTACTCAGCCGTTCTTTTAGATTCATTGACTATAGTTCCATTTATTTTCTCCAACTTTACTCAAACGCAACGTCATGAGTAACTCTAAATAAACGTTGGACCTACTGAAAGACAGATCCTTCTTCACTACTAAACTAAACACAAAAATCCCAAACAAATAAAATTTGCCTACAATACAAACATTACGAAAGCTAAAAGGTTAAATTTTCGGAAATAAACATAAAGTTACATAAGAAATTCACAAATCTTGAGCTAGATACCTAAAGAATTGCAACCACTACAACAAAAAAACAACTTTCTGCAATCTTAAAAAAGTTGTCGAACATCTTTTGCAACGTTTGGACGTATGTTGCAAATCTCGATATTGTTGTAGAGTAGAAGGGTAAGGCAACGTTTTTTGAATATTGATTATTACCTTCTTTTTTTTTTATCATTTTTTGAATTAATTAATAACTTTTTTGCAACATTTTTTTTTTATAGTTGCCGTAGGTCATTTTACATTTTTTTTTTTTTTTGTATAACGATTTACACGAATCAACCATAAAACAAGATAGAATGTGACAATGTCAAACAACTTCAATAATCATTATTAATTGAACTCCAAAATGTAACAATATTCATAAAAAATTCAGATCTAAAATTTTGAAACACCTAAAAATTCATTACATTTAGGCTCCGTTTGGGAGCCATTCTTCTTCCAAATTATGCATTTTTTCCTTCAAATCAAATGGATCCCACAGCTGGCATTTTGTTCCCTGCCTAATGATTGCTCTGCTGGATTACTAAACTGCCCTTCTGGATTATATGAAAATGGGACACATTTGAATTGAATGAGGGCAGAATGGAGAATGGCAACAAAATTATTGAGAAGACGTGCACAGACCTTGTCAGATGGTACTGTTCCAACGATTCAAAAAATTCTACAAATTGGCTAGAATTTTTACCAAACAGAGGCTTAAAAAATAAATTAAAAAAAAAATACCACAAACCATGTTGTGTTCTTACATTGGTGTTCTTGCATGCCAAAATGAGACAGAACTTTCAATGTTCAAAGATACAAAATCACGATGATGTTCATATGATCAACCCGTTCAAATCTAATTTCTTTGCTATAATTATTTTTCATTTCCTAGGGTTTAAAAAAACACCGTAAATCGTTCAATGGGCAAGTTCCCCTTCACCATTTCTTAATTTTGACACTAAGAGTCCATTGATCTTTATCTTGCGGCTTCGGAATCGACTTCAGTCAGCGGAGTGGCATCTTGTACTCTCCTAAGGAAGATAAAGGAGCTGGCAATTGCAAATTTTTAGGTTCAATATGCTTGAAGCTACCTAGCCACCTGATTTATTCAAAATACTTCATATCTTATGCCTCAATGATTTCAGTAGTTAAATTAACAATGAACCAACCAAGCGGTAAGCCCAATGGCTTACCAAAATCAAATGGTATTCTGTAGCATATCAATTGTACACAAGACTCCAAAATTCCACCTCTACCTTAATAATATAGAGCGAGGTCTTCTTGTGCATAACATTGTGATTGATAAGGCTTTAACCTCTCTAACATTACAGGATATGCCGTTCTTGTGCATTGTGTCATTTTTTCCAATAGCGACTTGACTATATGGTCACCAGCCATGGCCAAAAAAATGAAACATTTTGTCAACAAATATGAATACTAAACAAGTAATAAAGCTATTGATATTAGCCTTTTTAAGCGCGTGTCTGATGCTGATTCTTCATCGGCTTAAAATTGAAATATTGACCATTGTTTTGCCAAGGTAGACCCCACCCCTGAGATGGCTGGTCAAAAAAGACGGCCTGATTTTACACGTAACAATTATGAAATCAATTTTTTGTTTCAAAAAGAAGACCCATACGGCCTCTAAATGATAGTGGGTATATTACTTATACCTAGCCTTACGAGAGGTGAAGAACAACAGAATCAGTAAAATTATTGGCTGAAGCCTTCTTAATCACCATGGACAAAGCTTGCATTGAGCCCATCATTGGCTGTAATAAATGATAAAACACGAGCTGAGATAAGGTCATCATTTGGTAACAAGTAATCAAAAGTAAAGGGATATTACAAGTAAAACCTAACAATAATAACATAATTCAGGAGTAGAAAGTCTTTCCAACTGAAATTGATGTTCAAGCTGAGCCACCATATCTTGGCAATCCTAAAATTGACATTAATTTGGATAATATTAGTTCTCCTTATATTGATTCATCAAGTAATATATAATCAGACATTCCCATATCGCACTAGTTGAGTGTGAAAGGGGAAAGCAAATGGAAGCTAAATTACTTTACATAATTATTATACAAAATGGCTACAATTTGAGCAAAAATGGAAAAGCTCTTTTCAAGAAAACTAATTGGCTAATTGAAATTTGGAGTTAGCATCTGTATCAATAGTGGGGTCCACCACTGTGAGAGGTTGTCAACCCCTTCGATCTCTTCCTATACAAATAGAAAAGCTCTTTTCAAGAACACTAATTGGCTAATTGATCAGCCGGCCAAAACTCTGTGGTAGGTCATTATAAGCCCAAACAAATTCTTATCTCTAAAGGTCTGTTTGATTGTAAAGATAGAAAATGAGTGGAAAAAAATGAATTATAGGGAATTGAATTGCCTATAAATTATTTTACTAAGAATTGTAATTAATTGTGTTTGATTTGTATAATTTTCCACCTGAAAAATATTGAACGTTTGGTATCCGTTTGACTTGTTTTTCACGAAAATTGTCCATTAAAATGATAATTTATTTTACCATTTGGTTTAGAATTTGTTTAACTTGAAAAAAAAAATTACCATACCGAATATCATTTGTTTTGCTTTGTTTTGTATGAAAATTATCAATAAAAGTGATAAATTTTTCTACCATTAGGTCTAAAATTTTCCCTATTACAAATAAATAAATAAATAATAATAATAATAATAATAATAATAATAATAATAACTGGAAAATGAAAACCCACATAAAAGGTTGGAAAACAATTTCAACAAAAAGGTAGAGAATGTGCACGTGTGAGAGAGTAAAATTTTTTTCTATCAAACACTACGAAAGTTGGCCATGAAAAATGTTGTCCATCAAACAGGGCCTAACTTTGGTCAATAAAAGTGATAAATTTTTTTACCATTGGTCTAGAATTTTTCTCTATTACCAAAAAAAGAAAGAAAATAAAATTGGAAAATGAAACTCACCTAAAAGGTGGGAAAACAATTTCAACAAAAAGGTGGAAAATGTGTACGTATGAGAGAAAGTGAGAAAAAAAATTTAATTGGAAATTTCTTCCTATCAAACACTACAAAAGTTGGAAAATGGAAAAACCATGGAAAATGTTGCCCATCAAACAGTGCCTAGCTTTATTGCTCTGCTTTCATAAATTAAAACTTTAAAAAGTTTTAAAAAAGTGTTAAAGTTAATAATTAATTTTAATCATATATTTTATATCAATAACTTTTATCAAATTTTTAATTATATATTTTATTAATTTTTATCAAAATTTATTAAAAAATTTACCCAAAATTTTGTCTAAGAACGTAAACTATTTTTTTTCTCCAGTCAACTCTGGACCTCCAGTTATAGAATATCAATCAATTACCATAAATTATGAGAAAATGAATAAATTAAAAACTAAAACAAACCCATAAATGAATAAGAACAATTCTAGGTGTACAATTATTAGTGGTTGACAATACTTACAACACACTCACATTAGTGTGATGGCACACTAATGTGAGTGTGTTGTAAGTGTTGTCAACCATCACACTAATGTGAGTATGTTGTAAGTGTTGACATATGAGTGTGTTGTAAGTATTGTCAACCATCACACTAATGTGAGTGTGTTGTAAGTGTTGTCAACCACTAATGATTGTACAAATAATTTTTTGGTATTTAATACATGTGGGGCCCGGCCCCTCGTGAGTGAACAAATTTTCTGTGCACGAGGATTTATTCATTCCAAAAAGCTTTTTGTACAATCATTAGCGGTTCACAGCACTCATGATTGTACATCTAGAATTGTTCTATTAAATACAAGTGTCTTGTAGCGTAAACTTGTACACAGAATAGATTTCCCATATCCTTAAAAAAGGTAAAAATTTCTTGCAAATTTTTTTTTGTTAAAGGTAGAAAAATGAAAAAGTGTTTGATCTTTTTGGCTTTTTTCATTGTTCTTGCAAGCTGAAATGGGTTTATTATTTTTTATTATTACTTTTTTCTGCAACATATATCTAAATTCATAATTAAAGTTGAAGGTTCTTGAGCTTATAGGGGGAAAGCCAGGGTGAGAAAAAGACAGAATCTTTTAGCTTTTGCAGCTATATAAAACGTTGAACAAGAAATTTGGCGGATACCCGATAAAAAACGCCTGAGGAATTAGGTGGAAAATGGGTTCTCATGGAATGCTTGCAAGAAGGGCTTTGCTTACTGATACCCCTGTTATGGTTCAGGTAGTTAATTTTCCATCATTTCCTGAAATGGGTTCCCTTTTCTTGTTATTTTATGTGCTTTTGGTCTAATTTTTCTAATCTATTTAGTTAGCGAAAGGAATTATCTTTAATAGTGGTGAAATCTGTGCATTTTTGCTTGAAATCTGCAGATACAAGCGCTGATCCGAGGTGTGAAAGATTGTGTTTCTCTGGCTCAGGTTTATTATTTTTCCCAATGTAAATTGTTAATTTTTTGCCTTAAACTTCTGAAGAATGCTTTAAGTTATTGGTCATGTTCTTATTATGGAGTTCGAGAAATTGAGAAGTGTGAATGCTTTTCTTGTTGTCCTTCTTTTGGGTTTGAACAAATTCTTGGAAAAGGTAATTTTTTATGGTTTTCTTAATAGCTAAACTTTTTTTCTGGTAAAAGTACTTTTGAACTTTTGCACTTTAGAATGAATTAGATGATGGATCCAGTAAACTTTTGTACTTAATAATGAATTTCACATGTTCCTCGATGTCCTAACTGAATATCTCTATGATTCGGTTAAATTGGTTTTATTTCGCAACATGTGTGTACGTTAAAGATCAAGTCTCTAACTTGTTTGCTGTCTGGATACAATTAATTTATAGATTACTGAAAATTCTTGGCTTAACTGAGCCCCAGTTTGGTACACATTCTTTACAGACTCATTTTTCTCAAGCTCATTTTCAACTGCTCATTCTCCTAGTAAATTAAAATTACATGTGAACCCATAGTTTTTTTCCTACCCACGTTCTTGAAAAAACCTCTTTTCACAAAATCTATTGTCAAAAAATTTGCATCAAACAGGCTATAAGTTGCACTGAGTGACTATAGTTTAGCACTTCAGCTAGTATTGGAAGTGAAATCGTTTTTGCTGTCAGAGTTTAAAACATGTACTTTTTAAAAGTGTAATGTGATTATGAGAGTGACTTGTCTTATTTGTCTTCCTGCAACGAATGGAAAAAAATAATTTTAGGAGTTTATATTTTACTTTCATTTTGTGTAGCTCTCGAGTCACATTACTAGAGATTTGTTTACATGACTACTTTGGCTATTTTTTGGCCATTACAATACTTTGTCATGCTGCTTCACAGGGGGTAGTGTACTGGCAACCACCCATACAAGCTCTAGAGAAGGTGCAAAAACTTGTATGGGATCCTGTGATCAGTCGTTATGGTGCTGATGAAGGTCTTCCTGAGCTCAGAGAAGCATTACTGAAAAAGGTGCAACTATGATTTTACATATTTAGCTAAAGTTCATTACGTGGCTATAACACATTGTTTAACTCTGCTAAGTGATTAATGTTATTATCACCCGATGGAGGAGTAAACAGACTTGTAATGGCTTATGTCCGAAAGATAATCATTGAAAAGAGTTCACTGGTTCAATTTTCTGGTTCGTGATATAAATTAGGACCTTTGAGTGGAATTAAAATCTGTATACAACCATGTCTAGCCAATTTTCCCCACTTTTTCTAAACCAATCATTTCATTTTCTTGTTGCAGTTACGGCATGAAAATAAGTTACACAGATCCTCAGTGATGGTGACTGCTGGTGCAAATCAGGTATTAAGTTGGGTTGTTGGTCATCAATATACAGGAGGTTTTTAGATTCTTTAGAAATCAGTTGGACTACTCGTCCATGTGTGGATGGACTTCTATTTGTTTGCTGAGGTTACTAATCACACGTGCCACGTGTATTTTGTGATAGGCTTGCCTCTCACTTTGAATATTTTTCTTCTTTTCTATTAATCTCTTTTGGTATGAAAATTTATCCCATCAATTTTTGATATCTATATATATATATTTTTGCAACTCTATAGGTGCAGCCTTTTAATGAAGTTGAACAGTTATCGTGAAAACAGTTCTCGAACCACTTTGAAAATTCTTTTTGATTATTACATTTTATCCTTGATTCCTATGCTTTCCCTACCCAACATTCCCGATTCCCTATTGATATTTCAGAGGTCTACATTTTTTGATCTTATAAATTGATTTACGTTTGAATTTCAATATAATAATTGCTTATGGTGTTAGTGAGTGTGATTTCATGGGGAGCCAATTAGTTGATGTATATTGCAATTTTATGGATTTTGGAATGTATTCTTCCCTTTAATTCTCTTCTAATAAAATGATTTCCCAAATTATTGCAGGCCTTTGTTAATATTGTTCTTACACTGTGTGATGCTGGAGATTCTGTCGTCATGTTTGCTCCTTACTACTTCAATTCATACATGTCATTCCAGATGACAGGAGTCACTGACATTCTGGTCGGTCCTGGTGATCCAAAGATGCTTCATCCTGATGCAGGTCAATGATCAAAATATAATATATTCTAAATATCGATTAACCTTCATGTTTTTATGATCCTGCATGCTTTATGTCATTCTGCACCAGGAACTATCTATTTTTTACAACTAGTCAGATTGGGAAATTATTCATAATAACAGAAGCTGGTTGCTTTTTTCCTCATTAATAATTGAACCATGTTCTTTGATCCGTTCCAAAAATTTGAAAAGGGTTTTGTACCTATGCATTAAAATTTGGAATACTCGGAACTCTGATTTGATATGACATGCTATTCGTTGTTGTTGTCGTTGGATTCTTAGGATCTCTTATATTTCTTATTTCCTACCTTTTTTTGCTTTGTAAGATTTTATTCTTGCTTGGTAGGATTTATCTGTAATTTATAGAACAAATTAGTGATGGTAATTATAACTTTCTTATTTTAATGTCTATGGGAAGTCAGTTAAAGTTTATACAAATTGTATTCTGCATCGATATAGGAAAAGCAGAAGTATAATCTGTTTCATGGTATTGGAGTTAGGGCTACCTTCTGCATTTTTGGTCGATCTATGCCAAGCGTCATCCCTAGGACTTGTATTTCTTGTGGCCCTTCATTGCCGATGGCAGAGCTTCTCCTTTCATGTTTTTCTTTTTCTTTTTCTCTCCCCTTTGAATCTCAGCCTGCTTTCTGAGAAAACATCATCATTCCTGTACCACAATGTTTGTGATGGATAACAAGTCACCTGTTATCCAAAATTTGCACCCAACTTATTGGACCACATTGCTCTTGGAGATCGCCAAAATTTTCAGAATTCGTTTAAACTTTAAAGTCAATGGTCACAATACCAGGTATGGTCTCAAGTGCTGCAATTTTGAAGGAAAAGGGAAATATGTTTATTGGACTTGTTCCAAGTGAGGATAATTCAAATATTGTCATCTGGGATCAAGAGGACTGGATGATTTGGTCCTGAACTCTTGGCAAAGGTGTTTGATCAACATAATGTGTATGTTCTTGACAAGAACCAAGGATATCTGAGAGCCCATTAGACAACATATTCTCACAATTGGGAATGTGATAGACCCCCCAGATGGTGTGCTCAAGCCACATTAGCACTTGGTTATATTGGCAATCTGTTATGTTATTTCCATTACTGTATTGTTATTTCAATTAGTTGAGTGAAAGATGGAGGGAAGATCAGGAAATTCTGGTAATGTACATTGCCGACTAGAGCAAAAGGGGGAGGCGTTTATGTTGAGAATTCATCCAGAAATTGAGAGTGAAATTGAGAAGAGACACAGGTCTCTTGAAAACCTATCAGAATGTTCCCAAATATATGATTAAATGACAGATGCTGCTACTAAGCAAGGTACTTCTTCCGTTATTGTGCATTTTAAAATTCATGTAAGGTCTGAGGCTGGAACTAAATAATTATCAAAATCTTAAAACTAAGTAAAAGAAAGATGCTGTCATGTTGCTCAAATTTGTTAAAAGAGAAAGTATTTGTTTTTTGGTGGGTCTTAGTTTTGGAATACAGTCAAGTTTGGTTTCGGTTGTTCTGGTAAAAGAAGACCCACCATCTCTTGGTGAACCTTTCTCTATTATAAGGCCTGATGAGGGGCTGTTTGTTTTAAACTACATTAATAAAGTAAATCATGAAGGCAATTTTGAATCTGGGAGGAGTGAAGTGCACAGACTCACTAAGTAATAAAGATAATCTTGGTATAATACAATTACAAAACAAGGATATGAAGGCCTCCACAGAAAACCAATATCTGTTATTTTTAATGATAATTTTAGATTTTTCCTTTACACTAGGATTACATACTTTCTTCTAGAATTAGGATTTTAGTTAAACCATAACTATCCGACGAGGATGGAGTGACTTTCGAGATAATTTGAGCTATGAGGTTTTGGGATGATCGTTGGTGTGGAGATTAACCGCTTAAGGTGCGCTTTCTTTCTTTGCATCGCATTGCCTTGGAGCCGTTTGCTATGGTGAATGATATACTCACCATTCACAATGGAAGTCACAGCTGGAATCCTGCTTTTGAGAGGGGTTTACAGGATTGGGAATTAGATGATTATGCGTTGTTTGTGACCTATTTGCATGAGACGCACATTCAGGTTCGAGTAGACGATTGTAGCAGGTGGATGTTGGCACATAATGGTATATTCTCAGTTCGCTCTTATTTCAAATCTTTAGTAGAACCTGCGCAGAGCTCATTCCCATGAAAGATGGTGTGATAATGTAAATTGCCTCCACGGGTGGCTTTTTTATTGTGGACGGTTGTGCGTGGGCAAGCGTTAACTGATGATAATCTTCGAAGACGGGGTTTTTGTGTTACCGAGTGGTATTATATGTGTAAGAATGATGGGGAAACGATTGATCACCTGTTCATTCATTGTGATGGTATTCGATGGCTTTAGAATAGCATTCTTGTTTCCCAACATTTGGATTGGGTGATGCCTAGGCGAATTGAGGTTGTGGTGCGGGCATGGAGGAGGAAATTTCGTGATAAGGATAGCAGGATTGTATGGAATCTTATTCCGGGATGCATAGTATGGTGCGTATGGAGAGAAAGGAACAGCCACTGTTTTGAAGACCAAACAAGAACTACAGAGCAGATCAGAGGATTGTTCTATTTGACTTTGTATAGTTGGTTTAATACTGTAGCTAATAACCATATTGAAGTGTTGCCTAATTTCATGTTGTTTCTGTATTGTTTAAACTGATAATACATTTCCCATGTATTATCTATTGATTTATTAATAAATTCTTTGATTACTTATCAAAAAAAAGTTAAACCATAACCATTGGGATATGCTAAAAGGGGGACTCAAGGAATTCAGAATTGACTCTTCTCAATTATATGTCCTATTCTCGGTCTGCTATATGAATAAAAGAATTGAAGTTCATGGTATCATGTGAGAATAAACAAGTTTGTTATGCCTATTTGTTGGTATTGATGAGTGCATCAACAAGATTCGTCCGTGTTTCCCTGCTCCACTAGTTTAGCCAATGGAGACTCTGTGCCACTGCCTCACTTCTTTAAACATTTCTGGTAAATAAGTCTGAGATGCGGCTGGACTATCTATGTGTAGGTCATTCATACTTTTCTTTGGTGAAGACAATTTTCCCCTTGTTGTTTGACAAATTGGATGTTAACAATTTTATAGTTCTGAAGTTTGCCAATTAGCTATACATTGATCTGTTCTTTTCCATTGGTTATTACAAAATCTGTTTTTCCTTTTTTGCTAATCCATAATATATATATGTGGTCCTTCTTTAATTCCCAGTCTTGTCTGTGTCCTACATTGATAATTGTAGTAAGCTGACTTCCTCGTGAAAATGAAAAATGATGTTACTCTATATTTCCCGTCTTTTATAAAACGATTAGCACAGAATTTGATATTCAGATCAATACGTCAAACTCAAAAATGAGAAATTGTACTTTAATCAGATGATGCTATTTTTTTCTTGGAAAGGAAAGAATTATACACCAGTCCCCATGTGAATGGCTTATGAAGTTGTATAGTTTGTGAGTGAAAAGATTACTGGAGGTTGATAACTTCTACTGCAATTGTGGAAGGATGTCTATGTTGAGAATGCGATAGATTCAGAATATGGTTGTATTTTCCTTGAAGATAATAAGTTTTAAATTTTCAGAATCTTAACCAAGAACCATATCATTTTGATAGTAGAATTACGAAGTCCCCTTATTTCAGTGTGTACTTATGTGTGATGTTTACGTTGATGGATTTGACTTTCTTTCTGAACATTATAGTTGATGTCTGTAAGTTGTATAGTTGAATACATTTACTTTCTTTAAGAGAACGAAGTGACCAATGTTGAAATGTTTTGTCATATTAGAACAACATTGATAATGTAACATTTTCCAGTACAAGTAAGCATTATGACTGATGAACATCATCTAGGCTCAAATATATGCTTGTGGTATTGCTGATTTTATAATGATTGTAATCATCTTTTTGTTCAGACTGGTTAGAGAGGACTTTAAAGGATACAAAACCAACTCCAAAGCTTGTTTCTGTTGTAAATCCTGGCAACCCCTCTGGAACCTACATTCCCGAGCCTCTTCTGCAGGTCTCTCTTTTTCTCCCTCTCTATCTCTGTCTGGGTTTTCATGTGGGTAGTGTTCAAGAGAACTCAGTAATGAAGTTATACTTGCTGTTATAAAATGTTTATTTGTAAACATAGTTCCCCTGTTATGTCTTTATCCACATTTGGTATGTATCACTATGTTTCGGTTATATTCGTTTTTATGCAGAGAATATCAGATCTTTGCAGAGATGCCGGATGCTGGCTTGTGGTGGACAATACGTACGAGTGAGTATATTCATACTTTCTTGTGTAATGCTGAGTTTTCGGTTAGCTATGTCACTTTGAGACAAATGGATGCCAAGAATCATATATTAGTAAAATTGAATATGCAATTAGATTTGTAGTCAAACAGTCAGCAGACTGTCCATAACCAATTAAATGAGGTGGTTATTTCTTGTAGGTGTCTAATAATTTCCATCATAATCTTGCAAATCTATAAATTTGTAGAGTTTTAATCATCTGTTCTGTGTCTATGAAATACCAAAGCATAGGAGTATTGCAGCTCACCACCACCACCCCCACAAATAAACACATGCAGTCACAGTTATAAATGTGGAAAGTGCATCTAGCTGCCAAGGCTTACGGTGAGTTTCAGCAAATATCAATTAGTTTCACCAGTTGTGTGAGGAAATCAGCATTCAGCTGAACCTTTCTTATGTATTTCATAAACTAAGGACATGCTTGGGAGTGCTTTTAAGTGATTATAAGATGTGGGTCTTTCAAAATATGAAATATGGGGGTGAAAAGTATATTTGACCCTAATCCAGTTTCAGCATCCGAAACATCAATTACCATATTACAATCTATGAGGAAATTGGTATTTTAGATGGGATAGGACTTAAAATCCCAAAATTTTATTAAAATTTGTTTTTGTTTTGCACTTTTTGAGCCTTCTGCTTTTTTCCCACTTCGTTGAAGCTTTGCACTTCAGCACTAAAAAAGTGCCACTAGTGTGTTCTAGCCGTTGTACTTGAGTAATTGGCATTTATTAAATTTAGAAACATTACTACTCCTGTTGTGCTACAGAATTTCACTTCTATCTCAATTGGAAGTGTCCAAACATTGTTGATCTCGATGCATAATCACTCCAATTAGGACAATTCAATGTCTTACAATTTCAGCACTGAGGTGTCAAAATTTACTGAATAAATTGAATTGTTTTCGTTTGTATCTTCAAACTGTTGCACTTCAAATATTAATCCGTTTATCTAGATTGTTATATTCTGATCTTAATATCAGACAATCTATAATTGTTAATTGAGTGTCAAATCTATATGCAGGTACTTCATGTATGATGGTCGGAAGCATGTCTGTCTAGAGGGGAATCACATAGTGAACGTATTTTCTTTTTCTAAAGCTTATGGAATGATGGGATGGCGAGTTGGATATGTAAGTGATGCTTTATATTTTCTATGTTAAACAAGAATTTCAAATGTTTTGGACAGGCGAAAAGTTCCTTATGCTTCTGCTTTGCATGGTCGCATTCTAATTTCTTGTTTTACTTTCATCTTTTTGTTTTATTTTCACTTTTAGTTTTTCATTTTTTTTTCCGTGGAACAACTCCCACAATATTCATCCGGCCTTGGAGAGAAGATTCTTTGACAAGTTGCTTTCTTTCAAGCTGCTGCTTATATTTGAAACTTTGTGTCAAATGGAAATTGCCTTTCTGTTTATTGACTTCAGTGTTTTGATTATGTTCATTAATGCAGATTGCATTCCCTTCAGAAGTGGAAGGTTTATCAGCTCAACTCCTTAAAGTCCAGGACAACATACCTATTTGTGCTTCTATAATCTCACAACGACTTGCACTTCACTCATTGGAAATGGGGCCCGAGTGGGTCACCGATCGTGTAAATGAACTTGTCAAAAATCGAGACATTGTTCTAGAAGGTTTATCCCCATTGGGTAAGGATGCTGTTAAAGGTGGAGAAGGTGCAATTTACTTGTGGGCAAAGCTTCCGGATAAATTTCCCGATGACTTTGAAGTAGTTCGCTGGCTAGCTCAGAAACATGGGGTCGTCTTAATACCGGGATCCTCCAGTGGCTGTCCTGGGTATGTTAGGATTTCATTTGGTGGGTTGATTGAAGATCAGTGTCGTATCGCTTCAGAGAGGCTCAAGAAAGGGTTAGAAGAACTCGTGAACAAAGGAATGGTGTTGTAATCTTCAATTCTTATAAGCCAATTTACAGTTTGGTCCATTCTTAACGCCTAATAATTGGAGAATTTTATGATTTGACTCACATATATAGTGCAAAAGAATTCTTTTTACAGAACAAGATTTCCAATATGCACAGATTTCTGGTACTGTGCATGCAATGAATTGATCGTTTCTTATGCCGATTTTGGCTTTTATATCATTACATCATCATTTTGATGGCTCAAGCATGCTTAGACAAGCTCACCTTTATTTTCTCGAAATTATTGTGATGCAGGATAGGAGAAGAAAACAGCAAGAAATGGAGGGGGAGGGGGGTGAACCGGAGAGAATTGGGGAAGGAGCCAGAGGAGAAATCAAGGAGAAGAAAGCAGCAAGAAAGGGAGGGGGAGGGGGGTGAACCGGAGAGAATGGGGGAAGGAGCCGGAGGAGAAATCAAGGAGGAAGAGGGGAAGAGAGGGTCGTGGCTGCAAGCCAAAAACTCAATTCATTTTTATTCATTTATCGTCTAATTCAATCAACAATGAAAAATTCAATAAATAGTAAAAAACTTAACCTACTTGTACTGGGCTTGGGTCAATCCAATACTACAAGTCCAATAATAATAAGAACATAATTAAATAAAAATAATAATAAAATAGACCGTGATGTCTGCATCAACTCTCTCGGGCTGGGAGAAAAAAAACTCGACCATGTCGAGTGGATAAACTGCTATCACGAAGAACGATATTTCGTAAGAACCAAATATCGAAACTCTATATTTGATAGTAACGAAAACTGCAGCTTATTCCCAAAAATATGATCCAGTCAGGGAGACGATCTCTCCATCTAATCAAGTACCGATACTGGACTCCGAATAACAAAAAGGCATGCAACTCATCTTGAATACTTTCATTTAGTTGTGCATAATGAGGAGCCTAAGAAGCTAGCATCGCAGACTGGCCTGTACAAAAAAATGATCGCAATATCGAAGGCTCGAATGAGCCCCAATTAGGAAACAATTCTTCTATATTGAAAATATAACTTTCACTTAAGTGAGATGGCCAGTCAAATCGAAAATCTTTACGTGAATGATCCAAAAAAATTTTCTTCACGTTTTTAGGAAAACGGATAAGAGAGGCGCAATAAATTATAGTAATTTTCAATAGGATACCCAAATATATATTGCACCTTGAAAGTAAGTTCAAAAATTTCATGATTGAAAATGATTTGACCTCTTAATTTGGCATGAAATTTAAGAACATTGTCAACAGGATGATTAGCTAACAAAGTATGTCGATAATTAGTGGACAATATCCTAATGTTGATAGGAAGAATGTGCAACCAGGTAATGGCCTTAGAAAATAATGTGGCAACCCGTGGAATCCCATGTAATTGAGGGAAAACTAAAACAAATTCAATTTAAGTCATCAGATCTACCATTCTTTGCTTTTCCTTGGTTCCAATTGTTACTCTGACGATTGCCTTAGTAGGCTCCTCCCCGATTCTGAGAGTAATGCTCTCCCTTATTTGAGCTCAAGTTAGGTATATGAGGTCTATTTCCACCTCCAATAGACTGACTATTTCCCAAAGATCAATCCTCTCTCGATTCTGGTTGATAGTCACTCAAACATTTGGCAGCTCCCATAGCTGCGCTTAAATCAGCGACCTTCTGTCTCTGAAGTTCTGTGCGTGTCCACAATTCCAACCCTTCTATGAAGGTGAAAAGCTTATCATTTTCCGACATATCTCGAATATTTAGCATATGTCCTGAAACGGCTTTCACATACTCCCTGATAGAGCTTGTGTGTTTCAGTTCTCGTAAGGCCCGACGTGCCTCATATTCCACATTTTCTGGAAAAAACTGAGATCTGATTGCTTCCATGAGAAGATCCCAAGAATCTATTCGGACCCTGTGGCTTGAATATCAGCATACTTCGTCCGTCACCATAGTTTTGCATCTCCACCTAGATACATGATAGCTGTTGTAACCTTTCTCGCTTTGCCTTGAATCGAAGCCTCAAGAAAGTATTGTTCCATATCGAACAAGAAGTTCTCAACTTCTTTAGCATCGCCTTCCCCTTCGTATGTACACGGTTCTGGAATTCTGAGCCTATGCACAATCTTGTGGTGGCTTGCCCATTACCCACTTCGCGTTGAAGCAATAGTAACTGAGCTCTCTGTTGACCTATGGTTGATCATGACCTTAATGTTTTGATTATAACAAACAAGTCCATCTTATTTACTAACAAATTGAATTGAGTGTTTAAGCTTTCAAAGTTATAAAGATTATTATTCACACTCAAATGAAGTACAAGTGAAGGTTAAAAACGAGCATTCAAGATAATTCATTCGAGACAATAGTGATTTGCATGCCACAATCAAATTGGAACTTAACATAATTGCAAATCAAGATATAAGTCAAAGAGAGGCTCGAAGAGATCAAGGACATTGAAGATAGAGTTATTTATCGAACTTCGTTTATATACGTAAAGGTATAACTCGTCAATATTTAGCAAGTGCATAAACTCAAATATTTCTCATAAATTCATTATCAAAAACCTTGAAAAATCATTTTCAAAAGTCTCTCAAAAGATCACACTTCAACTTTCAATCAAAAAGTTATACTCCGGTTTTCAATCTCATATTGGGACAGATATTTGACACTGAAGATGATCTAATTTGAAGATGATTTCTGAAACAAAGTTGTAGC